GTTTTTAAATTATTTTTTTCAGTGCTGGGGAGCAAACCCAGGACCTCATGTATGCTAGCTGAATGCTCTACCACTAAAATTCATTTCTGGTCCTTTTAAATATTGTATTTTTGAGACAGGGTCCCTCTAAGTTGCCCAAACTGGCTTCGAACTTGTCATCCTTTGCCTCAGCCTCCTTAGTAGCTGCAATTATAGGCATGCACCACTGTTCCCAACTGCTATTTTATTTTACTTTATTTTTAAGTGGACTTCTTGACAATATAAAAATTTGGCAGTTATATTAGACATTGACTTTTGCCCCAAAAGCTTGGAAACTATTGCTCTCAGGGAAACTAAGGGATGGGAGCAGCTTCTCAGCTTTCAGGCTGAGGTGGATCCTGAGCAGTCACTGTATTCTCACTGTAATAATGGTTCATCTCCCTTCCAGGTCTTCTCTCCATTTGTAACTCTGTTTTTCAAGACTTCTTCTTTACTCTTTGTGAAGTGCTGGCACCCCATCCTTGGAGCCCCCAAGCCCATGTATTGTGTAGATGCCAGCTCAGAAACCTCTGCCCAGGTTGGAGGGTGCTGAGGCCGGAGGGCAGCTGAGGGGACTGGTACCTTCATGCTGCATTTCTCATTTCTCACTGAGTCCCAGAGTTAGCCTCTTCCAAGGTGGATTGGAGGGCTTATTTCCCAGGTCTCCTATTTGAACTAAACCCAGGGCTTCATGTAGACTAGGCAAGTGCTTTACCATTGAGCTTCATCCCCCATTGCCAGTTCCCCAGGTCTCCATTTTGAAGGTCCCGCCAACTACTGCCTTCTGTCTTTCTTATCGGGCTTACATGGCTTGGGGTCTCCCCAGTGCTGGCCTCACTTGAAACACTGCATTATTCTTTCAGGGATAAGAGATGACTTGGGACTGCAGCTACTGCTGCATGTGGGACTCTGGCTGGGCTCCCCAAGGAACATCCAGAGGGCGGGCTTGTGGCTTAATCATCTTAGTATCCCCAGCACCTGTGACAGGCCTAACACATTGTAGGTGCTCAGAGAATTTATAGTGAATGAACAAAGGAATGAGTGAATGGATAACGGGAGGCAGGCTCAGCATCTCTGCCTATCTCTGGCCCAGAAAGCTCCCACAAGAGAGATCCAGCAGCTCCTGAGACCTCCTCACACCATTGGAAGGGGGCATGGGCTAGCCAGAGCCTCTCTGTGAAAACCCTGCTGAGCTGGGGCCTGCTGGGAACAAATATGGACTCTAATGCCACCCACGTCTTACTCATAGCCCTTCGGTTCAGGTTCAGCCTTGTGGGCTGTGAAATAGGTGCTCCCATCTTACCTCACAGATGGTTGTGCATATTAAATGAAAGATTGTCTCTAAGTGCCTGGCAAGAGTGGGCACTGGATGGGGAGGTTGGCTCTGAGGGCACCAGGTGTCCTGATAGCCCTGCAGCTATATTTGTTAGATGAATGAATGGAAGAGTACTGCTCTGTGTCCCCTTGCTGAAGATTCCTGTGTCCAGTGGCAGCACTCCAGAAATGACACAGCAGCATGACTCCCCTCCCTGACACTGACCAGCCATGTGCACACGCCCTTAGGTGAATGAGAAGTTGGATTCCTGGGGATCCAGGGATGCCCTTCTTCCCTTGAGTTCTGATCCTTTTTCTTTTTCTTACTCCTCATTCAGCCACACTTCCTTTTGTGAATGGTGTGTTCCTCTGAACTGATCTATTATCTCCTCCTGAGGGGGAGGATGTGCTGGGGACTGCATCCAGGGGTACTTTACCACTGAGCTACATCCTTAGTATTTTTCTTTTACTTTCCTTTCCTTTCCTTTTCTTTTTTTTTTTCTTTTGAGATAGGATCTCACTAAGTTGCTGAAGGTCTCAGATTTACAATCCTCCTGCCTCAGCCTCCCAGGTGGCTGGGTTACAGGCACATGCTATGATACCCAGCTATCTCCTCCTTTCCATTCCTGTTAGAACCAGCCTTTCTCCATCCTACAAGTCCTTCTCAGGGCCATCAGAGCTTCCTTACTGAAATAGGTCAGAAGGTATCACTCTCTACTCAACACCACTTAGTGGCTTCTCATTGCCCACAGAATAATGGCTTTCTCTGATTTGTCCTGTCTCCCTTTCTGGCCTTAGCCCCTCCTACCAGACTTTCTCATTAGTTACACTTTCTCTTATGGATACTTTAGGTACTGTCATTTCCTTGGCCTGGAATATTCTCCCCAGTCCTGATCTCTACTTACCACTCTTGAAAGTCCAACTCTAATATCATCCATCCCACAGAGTAGTCCTTGAAGGCCCCCAGATGGAATGACCCACCCACCCTTTGTGCTTCTTCACTACTGATCCACATCTCCATTTAACCATTTCTACTTGACTATGAAATTGAGAAATGTTGGCTGAAATGAATGAAGAGTTGGTGAAAAGAAGGTAGGGTCTGGGCTTTATTGATCCTTCCATTCCTCTCAGCATCAGACTCTTGGCAGAGCAGACACTAGGCCAAGTGTTAGTTTAAATAAAATTTAGACAAACTGGGGGTGGTGCACAAACCTGTAATCCCATTGACTTGGAAGGCTGAGACAAGAGAATCATAAATTCAATGCCAACCCAGGCATCGTAGTGAGACTGTGTCTCAAATAAAATAAAAAGGGCTGGAGATACACCTCAGCTCAGTGGTAAAGCGTCCCTGGGTTTAATCCTCAGTATCAAAAATAAACAAACAAATAAATAGATGATTTAGAGTATGACAAGACTGCACTTCTGCCCCCTTCCTTATCCTAGAGGAAATGCAATTGTGCCACCAAGGACTCCCCACATGTGGCTGCAGTACTGGGAAAATCAATGCTTCCTTTCCCATCATCCCTTCATCGCTTGGTACCATTTATAAGTGTGTTGGGGGGAGGGTACTGGGAATTGAAACCAGGGCATTGTGCATCCCAGGCAAGCACTCTAACGCAGCTACATCCCCAGTCCTTTTTATTTGAGGCAGGATCTCATTATGTCACCCAGGCTGGCCTTGAACATTCTATCCTCCTGCCTCAGCCTCCTGGATAGCTGGGATTACAGGCAGGCACCACTATGCTGAGGCACAGTCCCAGTCTTTATTCCCTGTAGTGACCCAACTTCAGGAAGTTGCTCCTTCCCAGCCTCCCAGAAGCAGCTGGGGGTTCTCAGGGCCACAAATCCTGAGGTTCCCAGGCAGTGCCCACTATTTGCCCTGTACAGCCTGGCCGGTCTCCTGAAACCCAGTTGGGTGGAAAGGGTCCTGGGAAGCTTGTCTTGGCTCCCATGGACCACTACTCTGTTTTGGGCACTGAAGCCTCAGTCTCTCATCACCAGCAACCCTCTCTGCCAGGAATGCGGCTAGCAGGGCTCTTGGGGATACTTGTCACCCACCCCACCACCACAGATACAATGGCCAGGCTCTTCCTTCTCATGACAGAAGAGACGGATGTCCCCACACTCTGTCAGGCCTCCACGCCCCTGTTCCCACCTCACTCTCCTCCTCCTGTGCCAGCCGCTGCTCGATGAGTGCTGTGGCCCTCTGCACCGCCTCGGAGCTCTCCAGTGGGCCCTCCATGGTGCCGTCCATAACTGCCTCCTTCTGCAGGCAGGAGGCACTGGGGGCTATATAGGCCAGAGAGCTCGTGCCTGCCCTCTGGGTGCCTTTGTCATGAGCTCACTGGCCCAATTCTTCACCTGCCTCCCCCACCTGTCACCTTCACCTCAGGCAGCCCCAGGGAGCAGGGGGAGCCAGGACAGGGAGCAAAGTAGCCCCGCCCCCAACTACTGGCATACTAGAGCCGAGGGCACAGTGCCTCAAGGGTAGGGGAGCAGGGAGGAGCCTGTTCAGGCTGCCTGAAAGCTCGGGTCCCAGCCAGGCAAACTGGTTACACAAAGCACCTGCTGGCTGCTTCCTCTGGCTGGATGGCAGTGCCACCTGCTGGATGCTTAGAAACCCTGCCCAACTAGTGCCAGTGTGGGGCCTGAAAACCTGTGTCAGTGTTCACAGGGGTACCCATGACAGGCCCGTGCCCCAGGCTGCCTGTGAACAGGTCCTGCCAGCCGTGGGGAGAGGTAGACTCCAGACTGCCTTGTCCAGCCTGGGGTACCAGGACAGCAGAGGGAGTCAGGGCAGGCGGCCAACTCCTTCTGATCACAGCTCCTGGGGCTCAGCCTCTCTGGGGCCCCACAGCACCCCCTAGCGAAGCATCACTGCATGGGACCATGTCCATTAGTCAGAGAGAGATCTTATCCATCTGCCTCCCTCAGGGACCACCAGCCTCTGCAGGAATTACAGGGTTGTTTCAAGACAAGGATCTTGGGAAGCCAGAGTGCAGTGCCAAAGCCAGCTGACAAGGAGCACCAGACAATGCCGGGCTACCTTGACCAGGGGCCAGCCATGCTCACTGCAAACAAAGAATACTCCCAGCTAGAGAGAAAGCAGACCGGCACTCACCCAGTTCCTCACTGGAACTTGTGGGACGAGCCCTGGGTCATCCTGACACACAAGAAAATGGTTCCCTTTTCTCTCTGGTTCACTAAACCCTGACCTATGCTCATCATCTAAATTTGTCAGAAATCCTGCTTTGACACCCACTCGGGCAGCATTGGCTGGACTTCCACACACACCTTGATCACGAGGGCCTGGCCTGTGAGACCAGAGCCTAGAGCCAGCCCACTCCTACAGGAGGGGCAGACCAGCAGCAACTAATGCCACCTTCCTAGGTGCTGCTTCACTGTCAAGGCACTGTCACATTGGCTCTCCCACTTAACCCTCACAGTAACTGCAACTGCAGGCAGAGTCACCTCCACCTTAGAGAAAAGCCACGTGAGTTCAGAGGTTAAGACCTCCAAGAATACAAGAGGAACTGAAATTAGGGCCCAGAAGATAGCAGCTCTGGTCTGTGTGCTCTGCTGTGCCTGGACAGCCGCGGAGGCCATGCCCACCTGTTCCCACAGAAGCAGGATCTGCAGAACTCAAAGTTGAATGCCAGGCAAAAGAGGAGGAGCCAAAGGCTTTATTGATAAATATGCACATATGTCTGTACATGAGGACCTGCTGAGGAGGCCATGACCAGGCTGCAGACCCACCACCACTTGAGTTACAGCCAGGAAATGGCCCCGTGCAGACCCCTGCCACAAAGCCCAACCATCCAGCCCCCTGCCTCACCTCTGCCAATTGTGCTGGAGGCAGGGAGAGGCAGAGGCCTGCCTGCCTCAGGCTCCCCAAGCCCTGGGACTCACTGGTGGTTCCCTCCTCCCAAGGGGACTGGCACTGTGCCCAGGGAAAAGTCAGGGTGGGAGCGGAGGAGGGAGACAGCAGCTGCTTCCCGACCCTGAGCAGAAAACCAAAGTGAGCACAGCGCAGCACCGGATGACAGATCTGGGCCTCAGGGCCTCCAGGCTGGCCCCTGTGGCTCCAACCTGCTTCAGGAGAGATGCAGGGTGGAGGGCCCCAGTCGCCTTTTCTCTGACAAGGTTGGCAAGGCCTGTGTGTGGCAGCATTGTTCCCTGGGTGCTGGGCACTGGTGGCCCACAGTGCCCCTGGGAGGCAGGGACCCTTCATGGCTCACCCAGAGCCATAGAGCGGGGAGATGCCCTTAAAGAAAACAACAGCACTTGAAGGCAGCAGCAGGGTGGGGGGCCTCGTGCTCCAGGCCAGCTGCTCAGCCCTGCAGAGGCCCTCCATGGCCTCTCTTCCCAGGAGTCCACGGGCCCATCAGTCCTGGGGTGGTGGGGGCTGGTTGATGATGACCTGGATGACAAAATCTTTCTGGATCTTTGTTTCCTGGAGCCGTGTGCGGTCTGTGAGCAGCTTTCCAGAGAAGAACCACCGCTGCCAGGATGGTTCGATGCCTTCCTGGGTGTGCAGCTGCCTCTTGAGCTGCCCCACTGTGTCAGGCAGGCTGGCGCTGAGCCTCACGTCCTTGCCCGTGGAGAGGCGCACCTTCAGTGGGAACTCACGGCGCACACTGGGGACAGGCTCGGGGGGCTCCAGACTCTCCTCCTCAGTGTGCTCCAGCAGCAGGTTCACGGGTGGTGACAGGCAGTAGATGGGCAGCTGGTAACGATTGCCCAGCTCGTCATAGCATTCACAGAGGGTGCCTGTGGGAAACACAGGGTGGTCAGTGTTCACCTGGGGATGTTGTCATGCACTGAATGCTTGAGTTCCTGAAAATTAATGTTAAAGCCCTAACACCCCAGTGTAACTTTCTGGAGATGAGACTTCTATGAAAACAATCAAGGTTAAATCAATCATAACAGTGAGGCCTAATCCATAGGATTACTATCCTTATGAGATGCCAGAACGCTCTCCCCCTTTCTCTCTTCCCAGCATGTAAAGACACAGCAAGAAGCTGGCCATCTGCAAAATAAGAGAACCCTCACCAAAAACTAAATCAGTTGTCACCCTCATCTTGGATTTCCAGCCTCCAGAACTGTAAGAAACGGATTTCTGTTTTTGAAGGCACCCAGTCTGTGGAACTTTGTAATAGCAATCTAAGCAGATTAATCCAGCCACCATGGCTGCCCCACAGTCCCCACAGAAAGGTCTTTCTGGGACAGCCTTATGATCAGAGGAGCACAGGGCTGGAGCTAGGAAGACCTGGGCTGGCATCCTGGCTCCACCAGGTGCTGGCTCATCAGCCCCAGCACATCGTTTAATTTTTCATTTGCTCACCCAACAACTGCTGAGCACAAGGTGCTGGGTGCCGGGTGCAAGACAGTGCAGTTGGAAGTGTATTCACTGAGTCGCAGGCATGACCTTGATGCTGGGACTGTACTAATGGGCATTATACGCACCTTGCTGAATCCTAACAGTTGTGTACCTTAACAATTGCAAAGTCCTCTGATTCTAAATGAGAAGTGGCTTGTTCAAGGTCACACAGCTAGGATACAGTCAAGTTAAGACCCGGGTCTGTAACTCTCTACTTTGCATAGCCCATGAGCCTGATGTGAACTTAAATGAGACTATGCAGTAGAAGCTTCTAGCTCAATGTCTGGCACATAAAACCCAACAGAAGATTGGTGCTCCAGATGTTCTAGGATCCCAAAGCACCCTGAACAAGTGTTCAGCTTTCAGGTTTGCTGGTGTCTTTGTGTCCCCTCAGTAGTCAAGCAGGGACCCATGTCTTCTGTTTCTTTGTGTCCCCACCTTCCCGATCCATGCTCTGAGGGGGGGGGCTCAATTGAACAAGTGAATAGCTGTTCCCCCCACCTACACACTTCTCTGCCTCCACCAGCTTGGATAGAAACTTCTGATGTGGCTGATCACTAGCTATCCTCCACTACTAATCTCTGTGGATGACCCCCCGGCCCTGCTCCCCACACAGGCTCAGCTCACCATGAGGCAAAGTGATACTGGCTCCATCCAAGATGGCCTGAGCCAGCTCATGGTCATTGGCCTCGGCAGCATAGGCGGCAGCCTTGAGGGCATCCCAGATCTCCTTGCGGCCCTCAAAGGCAGGTGCCGTGTCCCAGAATTCATCCCGTTTGCTCCGAAGCTGCCCATCGGTCATGGGGTAGTCGCTCTTCCATTTGAGCCGTTCCTTCTTCAGGGGCTCATTGCGTCCTAGACAGGGCAGAGGGACAGGCTCAGCATCTCTAAAGTCACCTGGGTTACAATTCACCTTCTCACTAGCCCCTCACTTCTTGAGGCCAGGCCCTGGTCTGCCTAACACCCCACAGCACTGGCTCCTTAGTATTTAGGTCTCTGGGCCCCTCCTCAATAGCAGGGAGGAGAGTCTGGAAACCCAACTTAGGGATATAAGATAAGTTTGTCAGCAAAGTATTTGCAGATGCTCCTCAACTTACAATGAGGTTATGTATGGATAGTTGAAAATATCTGAAGTCAAAAGTGCATCTGTTCACCCAACTTCCTGAACACCACAGCTTAGCCACATACTGTGGAATGTCAGTTGTTTCCCTTTGTGGTCGTGTGGCCCAGTGGGCGCTGCCACTGCCCAGCATGGAGCGTTGCTGGCCAGGGAAAAGCTAAAATTTCAAAATTCAAGGTGTGGGTTCTACTAAATATGTATCATTTTTGCAGTCTCAGGAAGTAAAATAAAAAAATCTAAGCTGGGGACTTTCTGCACACCTTTGCTTGTCATTGAAGTTTTAATTTTACTCTTTCTTTGAGTATAAAGTAATATAAGTTCAGCATAAAAGAAATGTGGAAAGAATGTAGATGTGTAAAAATAGTAACAGCCACCATTTACAGAACCGACATGTGCCAGATCACAGGCTGGGCACTTTGGACTTGTTCTCTTTTTTGCAGCACTGGAGACTGGACCCAGGGCCTTGCACACAACAGGCCAGCATCCTGCCACAGAGCTGCAGCCCCGGTCCTCTTTATTCACTTGACCTTCGCAACAACCCAATAGATTGGGAAACTAAGACTCAGGGTTTGTCATTTGTCTAAGGACACATAGGTTCTGACTTAATGCAAGACTTTGACTCCAAAACCCAGCCTCAGACAACCGAGGGGAAAATTACTCAGAATTCCACCGTTTAGAAGTAATGACTGCTGACACCTACACATTCCTTCCAGCTTCCCTTTCCCCATTTTTCTCAATATAACTGAGTTTGTATTATTACATTTCTTTTTATCCAGAAAGAACTTAAGACATTTTTGTGCTAATATACAACTTTCTTTTCATCTCATATTTATATTACTGCCAACTTCCACATGATTAAAAATTATAAGAAGTTTGAATGTCTTGTTACTAACATGCTGCCATACAGATAGTTACAACGGTCCCCACCCCAATGGGCCTGGGGCTGGAACTCAGGACCCAGGACCCCACACATGCTAGGTAAAATGCCCCACTAGTGAGCTACAGCCTCAAACTAGCCCAAGACTTTTTTTTTTTTAAATCATAACCAACCAACCAATTTCTACAACATCTGAAGAAGAAAACATTTCTGTCAAATGTCAATTTTCTTGTTACCCAGCTCCAAGTGACCTCCAAGATAGCCCTGGACCCTAAAGGCAGAGTGACAACAGGAGCCAGGTGGCAACACTCACTAAAGCTGGGACTGCCTTCCAGGCTGCTCCCACTGGCTGGGGCAGGAGGGGGTTACTCAGTGAAAGAAGACGACATTCACTGACTACCAACTGTGGGCAAGCACCCCATGTGAGCTCTTCATTTGTATTCACTCTCCCATTTCACCCTTGCATAGCCTTAGGAGGTGGGTATCATTGTTGCTGCTTCACAGATGATACGGAAGATGAAAGAGATTAAATGACTTGCCTGAGCTCTCAAAGTGAAGAGTGACAGAGAGGATTCCACCTCAGGTCTGACTAAATCCTGTGGTTTGCCATCTAAATTCACAGCTACCTGTGTGGGCAGAAAACTCTGTAGCCAAACATTCAATTTAAAGTGTTCTGGGGGTTGGAAGAAGGAAAGCAAATCCTCTTTAGAGGAAACCAACTTCAAACCAGGCCTCAAAAAATTCCCAAAATAAAGTTTCAAGGAAAAATAATAATAAGGGCATAGTTAAAAAGCAAACAAAAACATCATATGCAAGGGAACAGTGTGAGTCAGCAGACAGAAAATCAGACCACGAAGACCTCAGACTGGAATTTATCAGACAGATTACAAAATACTGAGTTTAAGAAATGAGAGCCTTAAACACATGGATTAAGGCTAGGAGATCATAAAAAATTCCCGAGAGCAGAGCTCGGAGATGCACACCTGTAATCCCAGTGATTCAGAACACTGAGGCACAAGGATCACAAGGTTGAGGCCAGCCTCTGCAATTTAGCGAGGCCCTGTCTCAAAATTTAAAAAAAAAATTAATAAGGGCTAGAGAAGTAGCTTAATGGTGATGAGCCCCTGGGTTCAATTCCCAGTATCAAAGAAGAAAAGAAACTTCCTAGAAAGAGACAGGCTTGGGACATTTTAATTAATTTATTTTATCTAAAAAATTTTTTGGTAGCAGGGATTGTATCCAGGGGTATTTTACCCCTGAGCTATATCCCCAACCTTTTATATTTTGAGACAGTGTTTTGCTAAATTTCCAAGGCTGGTTGTGATCCTCCTGCTTTAGCTTCCCAATCTCTGGGATTACAGGCATGCACCACTGCATACAGCTGGGGCATTTTAAAATGTCCACCTTTTAGCTCTGTTCCTGACTCTGAAATAGCTCGACTGTGAACTGAAGAACACTGAGCTCTAGCTGTACATGCATCTCTTTCTCTCAAACCAAAGGATTTATCTTTAAAATAAACAGTCTCATGGTGGCCCTTTCAAAGTTGTCACCTCTTGAATTATTCTTGAAGCAGCTTTCAGGGTCACCTCCCCTCTACCCAGAGAGCAGCTAGTTTTCCAAACTGTCATTTATGCACTTCTCACCCATGGGTTGACACTGCAAGCGAGCCTAAGTATTAACTGCATCTGCAGTGACCCAGGTCACAAGGGTGTAGAAACGCCTCACCCCACACACAGGGCACTTGGAGTGGAAGGTGTTAGAATGGGGTGATGGTGGTGGGCAGGGGGTCAGGCAGGGTTAATGCAGGAAAACAGCAGGAACCCAACCAGCTCCATCTCAGCATCTTTGCACTTCTGTGCCACCAGAGGGCAGCCAAAGCACCTCTGGGCCAGTGTTGGCCCCCTGCATCAGTAGGTCAAATGCAGCAGAAAAATATCTTAACATTTGAGTTCTCCGGGCACAAAGTTAAGCATACACAGGAGACATGCCCAAATACTGGTGCATACAATCTTAGGCAGAGACTCAGATGAAAACGGAAAAGGAAGCTTTCCCTCTAAGTAAATGGATGATGACATTTTAATTTCAAATACTTATAACAAAAGGGTATTTTATAGTTAGTTGAGTCAAAAAAAAATTGGCAGTGGAAAGGATGTGAACACTCATATGCTGCACAAACTGGTACAAGCCTTATGAAGGGCATTTGGAATAATACCTTTGGCTCAACTATTTTGTTTCTAAGAATTTATTCTAAGAAAATAATCACAAGAAGTGTGTATGGCGAGGATTTAAAAAGATTTTTAGCAGGGAGAGCTAGACACAGCATCAGGAAAAAAAGGTGAAATAAAATCTCCATCTGTACGAAGGATCAGTGGCAGCCATTTTGTGATAGTGAGGAAGGATGTGGAGTAACATGGGGAATGTTCATAACATAGCGAGAAAACATTCCAGAATAATAGATGCTCTGTGTTTCAGTTTTTGCTTCTAAAAAAGTATGCATGATGAGTGGGCATGGTGGTGCTGGACTGGGAGACAGGGCAAGACCCCCACCTAAAATAACAACAACAAACCAATAAAAAGTATGCATAATTATATACATATTTAAAAAGACAAGAGAAATTCACAACCAAAATATTAACAGTAGTTATATCTGATTGGCAATTACTAGTGACTTTTTTTGGTTTATATTTTCCAAGTTTTCTACAATGAGAACTTCTTGTGTTATTAACAGAATAATACAACGAAAGTCGTTTGTAAGGAAAGATGTACGCGGGGTTCTGAGGAACAAACACAATAAAGTGGAAAGAGAGTGGGGCTGAGGTGGTGGAGCAAGAAGCCTCAAGCTTCCTTGGCAGCTCGGGCGGCTTTGTCTAGGGCCAGGGCAGGCTCTGCTGGAGTCAGCAGCAGAAGTATCCAGTGGCTTCTGCTTAGGACTCCACCTGTTCTAGATATGCTTCACTCAAAGACAGAGTAACAGAAATGGTCCCTAATCTTAATGAAGCTCACAAAAGAGCTTTCAAAAAATAAGTAAATAAAAGTTCATGCTAGTCAAGGCTTTCAACTGCATGGGGAGGCCGTGGGGCAAAACACTCAAAAAAATCATGGGCTTCTGTGACTATGGTAGGCAGCAACAGCAGAAGATATCCGTGACTGGGCAGACAATGTAGTCTGCATCCAGAGGCAGAAAGGCTCCACACCTCCTGCATTAGAATCTCCCGGGGTTCCGGTTAAAAAGGCAGTTTGGGGAGCCAGGGATACAGTTCAGTAGTAGAGTATGTGCTCAGAATGTGCGAGACCCTGGGCTCCATTCCCAGCACCAAAAGGTAGATTCACAGGGCCAAGGTCAGATCCCCAGAATCAGAGCACTAGGGGCTGGGCTGGGGTGTGAACTTGATTCTGTTTTAAGAATCTATTTGTAAACACAGCAGGACAGAAGTGGAGATAGCGTGTTCAAGCTCACTGTAATATAAATCAGCTCAACACAAGGTCTCCAAAGCTGCTGCCAGGAGCAGATCTGGGGAGGGAAGGGGAGAGTGCAAAGAGCACCCCGTCTGGGCTGGAGGAGGATAATGATGGTGGCTGCTGTGGCTTGGCCTCCATAATGAATGGTCTCTGGTGATCCCACCCCAAGGGAGGGCACTGGGAGGGGAGCGGGAGAGAACACTGAAGGGCCTTTCCCACCTGCCTGGAGCTGGCGTGCGTCTGAGTGTGTGCACTCTCAACGTCTGACACGTTGCTTAATTTCAGGAGTGTACAGCAGGGGGATTTTCTCAGACACAGGAAAGACAGCTGGTGGCTTGAAGCTTGCTGGGTGGTGCCTCTCCTCTGCAGCATCTGGTGAGCTGAGAGTGGAACTGACAGACGCACAGGGAGCAGGGTGGGGAACAGTGCAGGAATGACAGGAGAGGCCAGGGGGCAGCATGGAAGGGCGAGGAGAGGTCCACAGGAGGCTCCTGCACTTCTTGATCTCAGAATCCCAGAGATCCTTCCTGTGGCTTCTGGGACTGACATAACTGAGCCCCTGGGATGTGACACTATGCCTGAGACCTGCCAAAGGGAGGAGAGATTTCCCAAGACAGTCCACCCAAGCCAGGAGACAGGCCTATTTATACCTGTGGCAATCCCCGGGCTATTTCCACACTGGGTTACCAAGCTTGTCCCTAGGCCCTTGTTTCAGGGATGGGGCCAACAGTGTCCTTCTCAGAAGTACCAATTATGGACAAGTCTTGGCTTGATCTGCTGATGTGAGGGATGAAGCTCCAGGAAGAAGGCAGGAGTCGGAGCCTCCCTGACCCCTGGGCTTGAGGGGTCCTTCAATCAGATGCAGAATCAAATCTCTCCACCCTCCTCCTGCCCACCCCAGCAGTCACAGCTGAAATGCAGGTGGCCTGCCAGTACCAACTGCAGAAGGGATAAGAAGTCAGAAAGAACAGCAGGCCCTAGAAGGATCAGCACAGCCACAGAAAGCAGGGAAACAAGCCCAGGTAATCCCTTCAGGAAGAGCAGTATTTATAGTCAGACTTAGCCGGGGATGACCCTTGAGCCTGTCTACCCTTGGAAGGGAAAGGGCTGGTACAGCTCTGGAGCCTCTTTGGGGCCTGTAGGCCTTGCCTTCCCATTCATCCCCTGGGGCCCCAACTCCAGGGCTTAGGGAGGGAGAAGGGTAGAGCCCGTTGCTAAGTGACAGGCCAGACTTCCTAAACTGCATCCCCTCCAGGGGCACACTGGGCCCTGAAGGTCCTGGGCAGGGCTGGAGGACTATGGCAGAGTGCTCCCCATCCTCTGGGAGCCCTATTCTTGACTCCAGGAAGGCGCCAGGCCCAGGGCATCTGCTCCTCTGCCATGATCTTGTTCAGCGGCCCAAGGCTAGGACCACCCCCAGTTCATCTTACCGGTCCCAGGGGCAGGCTGGCGTCTGGTACGCCTCAGGAGGAGCGAATGAAGTGAGCCTGAGCCGACAGTTTAGGGAAAGAGGAGGAGCTGCCGGGAAGAAACCCCTGCAAATGAGAAGCAGCAGACTCTGTTTTGTGAAGAACCCTCACTGAACAGGAAGAGAGGGAGGAAGGAGAAAGGAGCCAGACAGAGGGGGACAGAGTCCGGCACTGAGGGGGTACAGTGTGGAGGATGAAGGGCTGGTGCCAGAACGAGCCCAGGGAGGGCTGGAACCTCTGTGGCCAAGGAGCCGAGGCACAGCCAAGAGAAACGGACCTGTGGGGAGGCGTGGCTGGCCACCAGAGAGACAAGGGGGCACACAGGAGCACAGGGACAGAGCCGCTTGCTCCACGCAGCTCACAACATAAGCATTCACCCAGCACGGCACCTGAGCATGCTGGGGAGGGCAGGCCTATATCTGCTCTCTGTCCTGTGCCTCCCTCAGGGTCCCTGGAAAGCCAGGCAGGGGACAGCAGATCACCCCAGGACTGGGCACTCTTGGACCACACCCCCGCCCATTCCTGAGCGAAACTGACCTAAGCTCTACTACAAACAGAAGCCCTGCATCCTTAGGGATCCACCTGCCACCCCACCAACAGCCCCTTCTCTGGGTTGGCGTGGAGAGAAAACTCACAAGTAGAGTAAAACAGGGAGAGTTTGGGAAATTACCAAATTTCTTTGTTTTACGTCATTTTTTTAATAACAGCTGTTCTTTTCTTATGGTGAATGCATTCCCATCTTCATTTTGTACTGATGTGCTTGTCCCCAAGTGCAACCAGGGTCCTGACTGGAACATGAACAGGCCAGTGTGAGCAGTTCTAGAGGGAAACTGACCACGCATGCTTTTTGGCAACTAAGACTATGGATCACTCAGTAAAGGACACCGCAGCCTCTGCTCTCTCACACAGGGGCTGCAGAGGGGGACAGTGGGGCTTCTCTTTGGGTATTGACCATCTATCTGCCAGAATGTGGGTGAACGACCTCCCAACTTAAGCCTCAGTGTTTCCACCTGCAGAAAGGCTTGACTCCCCACCTTGTGGCCACTGCAAGGACTAAGTGACAGCACTCTGCCCAGTGCTTAAAATATGGCAGCCACTATGTCACTAACAATCAAGTCAACACTGCTTATCACCATGATGCAACTTAAAGGGTATCATCTTTTTTTTTCCCCCATGAAGTTGCTGTGAGTTGGAAAACATTGAAAACCTCTGCTGTCATGAACTTTTCGTCTGCACTGCGCAGTGCTGGAGAATTCTGGGGTTAGCTAAGGCTGCTTGACAGGGACAACGAGCAGGTTTGATGGATGCTGCTTCCCTGCACAGCACAGGGTCAGCACTTTTCCTGAGGCAGAAGAGGGAGGACGGTGGCTAATAAATAAAACAGGAACTCCTGGGGTTGCTAGAAAGGTCTCCTGTGGCCAGCTCCTTTGGGATTTCAGGGTGAGAGGCATAGGTCCTCTGCCACTGTGCTGTCCACAGCCCACAGGCAGCCCTGACTCCCTGCTGTTAGAGGGCCTGGTGCTCACCAGGATGTTAGCCAGAAGTCCACGGGCCAAACGTGATGCCCGGGATTCCATTCCACTTGATGTTGACTGCTACACGCACTTCTCTCCTACGTGCCACTCCACCAAGGCATGACCCTCAGGGTAGGGCAGGATCCCTAAGCTGGAAGCGACCAGGTCACTGGCCTAGTTGCTTCATTTTACACAGGAGAATACCAAGGCTCAGAGGTGATGTGACTTTCCCAGGTCCCACAGCTGTTTCCCAGGCGTGTGTATATATGTATGGGGGAGGGGGGGAAGCTGAGTTTTAACTAGAAAATTAAATTGTCAGGGCCTGGACACACAGAGATGACCACAGGAAAAGCAGCAGACACAACACGCAGCAGGAATCAGTGGGGAGCAGTCACAGGTCTGCTTTAGCCTTCCAGTACCCCCAGAAAGGAAGGGAATCCAAGAACTGGGCCCTCCTAGGACGCTGCACAAGACCATGTGCCTAGGTCTCCCACAGGCTTGAAGAAACAGACCCACAACTCAGCACTTGAAGAAACACAAGACCCCAATTCAGCACGGTTGGTTTGTAGCTTGGTGAAGAAGACCAACCTCTTACCCCACACAACACTCCTAGCTGGTGGCGAGTCTCCATCTGGGGAGCTCAGTATGTCTTAAGGAAGCCTATTCCATTGCTGGATGAATCTGATGGTTAAAAAACAAACAGCTATTACAGTTATCTTCCCACTGAGCTACATGGAAGGCCTAGAACAGAGACAATACCTAGAATCTGAGGGCACAGAGGCTCCTTGACTACAAGAGGTTTTGTCCTGATACCTACTGAAGTTGAAAATATTGTAAGTCAAGAATGCATTTAACACACCTATCAAACAAGATCGTTCAGCTGAGCCTACTATCTTAGTCCATTTCTGTTGCTATAACAGAATATCCAAAACTAGGTAATTTATAGAAAAAAAAAAGGTTTTTTGGGCTTATGGTTCTGGCATCTACTTGACCTTTCGTGCTGTACAAATAGCAGAAAAACTCAAGAGGGGAAGAACAAGTAGGCACATGCAAAGAGAGGAACAGGGCCAAACTCCCATAAGAAACACATTATCTCATTGATGGAGGCAGATCCCATGACCCCAAGGACCCCTTAAAGGCCCTACCACCTCTCAACACTGTTATGCTGGGACCAAGACGCAGTATGAGTTTGGCAGACATATCACACCCAAATCACAGCACCCACTTTAAACCTACTCATAACACTTACATTAGCCTACAGCTCAGCAAAGGCATCCCAAACCAAACCTATTTTACAATAAAGTGTTAAATATCTCATGTAATTTATTGAGTACAGAAAGTGAAAAACAGGATGGCTGTGGGTTACTCCTGTACCACTGTGAAGTTGAAAAGTAGGAATCAACCATCATGGGCTGGGAACTACTAAAGTTTGGGAGTCAGATGGTCCTGGGTTTGAACACCTTTCCATCCTTCATTTAATTAGCTAAGTGATCTTGGGCAAATGTGTTGGCTTCCTAGTCTCTTCTGGAAGGTAGGGAGTGATCAAAGCCCCACATCTTAGGAGGGTTGAAAGGATCAAAAATATATACACTCGAGTAAATGCACATACACTAATCTAATCAAGAAGATTATACATAATAAATCAACTAACCTAATACCCCAGGTGAGGTCTCCTTAGCACGACACCTGGCAGGCTCTTGTTTCAGAAATCTGAAGATAGGTTCACAGAAGAGCACCATTCTAGCTAAGAGGAGGCACTTATCACTGTCACTGTAGTTGCTGCTGTCATTATTATCAATGTTATTGTCTTGACCTGAGGTCTGTGGGCTCGACTCTCTGGAATAACAGTCTCGCCCCTTCAATGGGCCACCTGATGCTTTGCTGTTCTTCATGCTGAACATCCGTTCCCACTTCCTCCTACTGCTTCTCCCAAGTCTTCAACTTCTTGCATGAGGATGCTGAAACTGATAAATTCCTAGAAACATCCAACCTACTAAGACTTAATTGTGAAGAAATGGAATATCTGAACACACCATGACTAGTCACAATACTTCCCAATGAAGAAAAGCCCAGGACCCATTTCCTGGGTTGCTTAGAGTAGTTAGATTAGTTGAGAGGCCCTAAGAGCCTGGGTGAGGTCTATTCACAGCCCCCAGGCTCCTAAATTCCCCTCCCAGCCCCTCAGCAACATAACAGCAAATTGCTCAGAGCTGACTGGGGCTGGAGGTAGAAAAGGACCCTATAAAATTTCCCTTGGTTGGGGCTGCAAATTGTCTCAAGCACTGTCATTCATTTAGTATGTCCTCCAGCAACAGGTTCTAAGTTAGTATCTTTCAGGTCTGTGTCCTTAGTGGGGCGAACTTGGGAGTCAGAACACTGGGGTCCATTTCCATCACGAGGCTGTATGATCTTCCAAGCACATCTGCCAAATGCAAATGCCAGTCTTCCATCCACCTTACAGAGATGCAAAACTGCCCCTGGGTTTTTGTGAGCAGTGCAGAGTGCATACACAGACACATGCCATTCTTGACATCTGGAGTGCCATCTTTTTTTTTCTTTTTGTGATGGTGGGGATTGAATCAAAGGTCTCATAAATGCTAGGAAGGGCCCTACCACTGAGGTAGATCCCCTGTCCTATTATCTATCTACCTATCTATTTTTGTGGTACTGGGAAAAGAACCCAGGAGTGCTCTCTACCCCTTAGTCCTTTTCATTTTTTATTTTGAGGCAGGTTCTCACCAAGTTGCCCAGGCTGGTCTAGAAATTACACTCTTCCTACCTCAGCCTCTTGAGTATGTGGGATTGCAGGCATATGCCACTGTTCGGGGCTTGGAGCCCGTCTTTTCAAGGATCATCACTGGCTTCACGTGGCACAGTTCAGGACCCAGACACTTCTTTGTGGATTGACAGAGAATTCCTTGCCTGAGCACATTTGTGCTCCAGAGCCAGGCTCAGGCCGTGGAGGCAGCTGTGCCTGACTCATGCCTCCCCTTCCTCCTCTACAGCCATGACTCACCAGCCCTGGCAGGCCTGCACCCTCCTGGTCTCCGGCCCCAGCACTATACGGGCCAGACCCCACTCTGCAGGATGCAGGCCTGAAACCCCCATACCAGCCCTGGGCCTCCTATGAGTGCTGACATTGCAACTTGACTGTCAGTTCCTGGTGGGCAGACTCTTGAGAGGCAACACCGTGTCGTGTATCAAAAACATGGTGGCCAGGTGCCCACCCCCAGGGATTGACTTAATTGCTCTGGAGTCTGGCCTGAGCATCAGAGAGTTTTAAAATCTCTCCAGGGGTGGTTCTATTAGATGGCCAGGGCTGAGAGGCACTGATCTGGAACTAGGCTGCCAGCCGGGTTGGCTGCTTTGATTGTGTTTAATTAGGTCTCTGAGAGGGCCTGGCAGGGGGCTGCTCAAGGAGAACCCTATGCCTGCCTCAGGCTGACCATCTGGACAGCCAGGCTGGT